AATCATAAAGATTAGAAATTTGGAAATAATCGTTCTATAATATTAATTTTTTTAAAAGATTTAAGAGATTTAGTTACTCTCTCTAGTCGAACCATGAGATGCATCTTTCTTTCTCCGGTATGGAAGCTTCGTAGGTCTCATTATAGAGACATCTTCTATAGATTTAAAAATTGGGTAACTATTTCTAGAATTAAGACCTGAATTATAAAAATTAGAAATCTAAAAGTCAGCGTTTTTTAATTTTTATTTTTGTATAGATTTCAAAGATTGAGTAACTCTTTCTAACCATACCATGAGTCGCATCTTTCTTTCTCCGATATGGAAGCTTGGAAGGTCTCATTGTTTTTCCCTAAACGTAACGACCTACAAAAAAAATAAAAAATACAGTAAATCATTGTGCTAACATGAAATTACGTCTATAATATCATCTTTACTTGATATTCAACTCAAAGAACTGCGATAGGTTTAACTAAGTTATGTATCTAATATATAAACTCATGGTGAAGAGATTCTAATATTTGTAAATTAGCGATTTCGTGATTATCAAATTAACAATTGTATTAATCTTATAATTAATTTAATTTTATTTATTAGCGAATTTGTATATTTCCATTTAGTTTAATATATATTATTGTTGACATTTTCATTATCCTTCAAATTAGAAATTTTGCTTATCTATAGTTTTGCATATATTTTTGTATTAGGGATATATCTTACTTGTATTGTCACACCAACCAGTTTCCTATATCTTTAGAAATTTAGACATAATATTCACTATTGGGATATTTCCAATATCTTACTTTTATTGTCAGGCCAAACAGTTTCCTTTTACTTTAAAGTTCTATAGACTTTTTACTGTTACAATATTGTAAAAACATAAATTATATGCTGTTTCAAATAATTAAATATTTAAATAAACTTGGATAATTTTTTAATTAATTTCATTCTTGAATCATAATTTCTTTATAATACTATTATAATATTTCAATATAACTTATAATATATAAGCATAGTATTTCAAATTATCACTTATTATGATATAGTTTGAGTAAAAAATAATAATTAAATCAACATTAAAAGATTAGCATGTTTTTGATAATCCAAAATAATAAACCACAATATTAGAAGCATCGCATGTTTGAAAATAATCCAAAATAATAAAACCAATCTTAAGCTAGTTTCTCAGTTTTGATCGATTTCCTTGTAATCATATTATGACTATTCGCGGAGTCGCCACTCTTTCGGGAAGTTCTCTTCTTTGACGGAGATGAAGCCGATTCAGCTGAAGAACTCTCGTCATTTCCATCTGTTATTTCTAGAATTCGAGGGTTGACATCGGCATTTGCATAGCTCTCCTATAAATGGTAACAATCATGAATATATTTCAGAATAAATTTCTATTAATCACATAATAGCTAATATTAATATTCGTAACATTGTACCTTTACAAACTGAACGACCATATCTTCCTTTTCCCAAAACTTTTCAACAACATATGCCGATTTTGAACTCTTCAAATTGTCATTTGTGATCGAAACCTTAAACAACATAGTTTTTCCAATAAACGAAGAAATAGCAATGGGAATAGTTGAAGGATCATCCTAAAGCATATGAATCTATTGGTTAAATACCGTTTATTAAATTTATCATGAACATGAATGTTCAAAATTTTACCTCAGCTATCTTTGCAACCAATTCATCAGCCTTCTTTCCAATGAGAAGTTGAGCCAAACCGTCAAAGAAAAGTAGCCTAATATGTGGCAAACTTCCATATGAGACATGTAAGACCAATTTAAACCTAATGTTATAAAAATAAAAAAAACACAACTCAATGGTCTTCGCCGCATTTTCATAGGTGAATCAATTTTAAAGAACAAACTAATGAGTGACTCGTACTTGCAATCAACATCTGTAACGTCTTTGTCGCAAACACCACAGCTGTATAATCGTTCTTTTCCGACTTGAGAATCTAGTGGGTATGGTTGAACTTTTTTATTACAGGCTTTGCAAGCAATGTAGTACCATTTAGGCAATGTCTCTACGGAGCTAACTTTTGCGATCGTAACACATGTACAAACTTGAATATAAGCCAACGTATAATCATTAAATATATCATTTTTCTATAGCATGTAATTTTAAAAATACATCTAGTGCATAAAGAATGTCGTCTATTGCCATCTTTTCATTGAGTACGAAGAACTCTTCATATAGTGTAACTTTCGGTTGTTCACTTTTGGGTTCAGTATTAATCTGAAAAAATCGACGACGTCTGATGGCACACTAATAAGGACATGTATCTCTATATTAGTAAAAGAGAAGTACAAAAGTGCTTACCGGGTCAGGTTAAAAAAACAAAATTATCCGAAATTTTGAAATGGAATTTTACAAAAATGGATCATCCGGTAAAACGTATCCACCCATTAATATTGACTAACTAAGGCTCTATACACGACCATAATGACATGAAATATTTAAATGGGCAAACGTATTACAGTCATTCAACGTTAATCAAATTCTTGATTTTACATAAGATGCAGTGTTCATACGTGACAAGAACGACACCGAAAACATCAATTAGCAATTTGAACAAAATAATTTCGGACTGTGATTTCGTAATTGTTGTGCCCAAAAATTTCAGATTCTATAATATAGTTGTATCAGAGAAACCTAAACGAAGTTTACTAATTGGAAAATTAAATGTTAAATGGATCTGATTACTGAAACCCCTTAACGAAAAAAATCCATTATAAGTTTCAAATTTTAAATATATGTCAGTTTAAAATTATTATCCTGACTGGTTTAAATGCAGCGGTTATGGTTGCGGCTGCGAAAGTTTGTTGAAGCGGGCGGTTGTGGTTTCAGGGGTTATTAAGCGGTTTAAACGACTGGTTTTACGTTTAAAAATGGTTGTGTATGCGGGAGTTTTATGACTGGTTGACCTGCGGGTGCTAGCGGTTAAATCAAAAATTGCAAAACTAAATATAAATATGATTATAATACTGTATAATTGCACGAAAAACTATATTATTATGATAAAATAAAATATATTGATAAATAAATATAAATAACTAAAAACCATAAATGAATTACTAAATAATTATTTTAAAACATATAACGTTTTAAGTTAAATATATTTATGAAAATTATAATTTTTTAAAACATAGTCAATAATTAAAAACCGTGAATAATTACTAAATATACATATTAAATAATCATTCAAATGTCAAAAAAATAAATTTTATAGTGAAAAACAAATAATTAGTAAATTTGGAAAATTATATTTAGAGAAAGAATTTATTTTGAGAATTAATGTGAATTTATAAAGGATTTGATCCAATATATTTCAATTTACAGATTTTCGATTTTAGGTTCGTTCCTTTTTTAACCGATCGTAATCGCCCGTAACCGCAAACGCTTGTGGGAAGGAGCTTTTGAAATCCGAGTGATTTGAAGTGGTGTGGAGCGTTTTCTATGATTGGTACCAACCGATAACAACCGCAACCGTCCGCTTGCAATCGTTAGGCGGCTAAGATCGGGAGAACCTCTCAACACCATAATCATATTCACTATTCAATACATGTTTTATAGAAATTGCTTACCATAATACCAAAATCATAGTATAATAAAAAAACATTTGCGAAAATAAAATTTCTTAAAATACATTTGCATCACTTAAAAAATTTAAAAAAAAATAATAATACCCGACACCTTTCACATGCGCTGTAGCGCGGGTCCGATCTTAGTGTATACCTATAACACGTATACCAATCATGCATAATTAATTTTGTCAAAAGTTCTTACATTTTAGTAAACTTCTCCACTTCTGAAATATTTGGATTGAACTAAACATTTGTTGAACCGAAAGAGTTGGATATGCTAAAAACTCCTGAAATTTGAAAATCATATAATACATAACCGTAATAAAACCTGAAAGCAATATCTTATGTACAATGAACAATTACCTCTCCACTCCTTAATGCATGCAAATCTAATAACGCAAACGACGACAGATTCATCTTGTTCTTTTATTGAACCTTCAAAATTCCTAGCAACATCACTCCAACGTGTGCAATTTAACTTTGTACCCCTATTTAATAAATGGATAGTGAGTTTTTTTTATTGTAATATATTATAATATATAAATTATCTAAGTTAAACTCTTAAACAAACAAAAACCATACGTAAAATCTTGCCATTCGAAACTTAATTTCACATTGTCCTTCCCTTTAGTTTTGATATTCTCAAGAGAGTCGACGTTAACAATCTGGCCAATTACATCTACATAAACAACAAAACATTAATACGATTTGGAAAATAATTTACTTAAAAACAATACATTACCAATCTTACAACTCACCGATCAATAAATGTTTGTCTGTTTTTCCGGCCAAGATATCAGAAAATTCACGAAAATATTTTTCAGATATTTGAGCTAGGAAATCATCAAACGTCTTGACCGTAGTAGTTCTGTAAAACAACATCTTAAAACCTAAAGAACTTGTTCTGTAATCACCATCATAATCAACTAATCCGAACATGTCTATTATTTTCGAATCACCAAAAGCAAACTAGTGCTGGAATTTTTTGACCAAAGACTCCTCAATAGATGCAAGGATCCTTGTTCCCTTTGATATAGAAGAATACATTACACAAAAAGTTTTATACATATACAATATATCATATATTTTATCACATACGTATGATGTAACTTATTCAAATATTAGAATCAAAATAGATGTGAAGCTAACGTACCTCTGTATCAATTAGAACCATCTCTAGAGTCTTGAACGATTTCCAAATCCGCATAACACCTAGGTTGCATGGAAACGGAAACGCATACGCGGAAACGAAACGTTTCGGGAACGGGAAACGACAATTTTTGAAAATTAAGGAATGGAAACGTTTTGGAAACGTATGTATATATAATTATATATATATATACTAAAATTCCAAATATAAAATCCATATTAAAAAAAAAAGAATTTTTGAAAACATAAATACTAAATAGTTAAACAAAAATCTAAAAGATAATACTAAAACGCTCAAATTCAAATGTTTGGACCAGCATTGCCGTTATCATTTTTCTCAAATAAAACAGCCACTAAATCAGGTTCGTCTACAGAAAGATCTTCAGACTCAAGTCTCCCACGATTAAACTCATTTAGTGAATCAAGTTGATCACCTCCAACATCCCACATATGATTAGTACCATAATTTATATTTATAGAAATTATACATCTTTTTATTAGAGATAGATACAATCTTTTTTTTTTTAATCACAATATATATCTTATATTTTATATTTTTTAATCTAAAAACGGAAACGAAAGTTTCCAAAACGGAAACGAGAGTTTCCATCGAGTTTCCAAATGGAAATTTTTAGGAATCGTGTTTCCATAGGTAGTTTCCGAGTTTCCAAGTGTTTCTGTTTCTGAAACGTTTCGGAAACGGGAAACGCACTTCGAAAATAGTTTCCATGTAACGTAGCATAACACGCACTTTGATCTTGTATTGATCATTAGCAGGATTGATTTTGCTAGCAAGAACAAAAGGAGAAATTTTTTTTTTAGAGGCCATGATGGAAAAGTAGCTGTAAACTTTAGGAACATGTGTATGCGTATTTATAGTTAAATAATCGTCTATACGATAATATTCAATCAGTTATGATAATAATGAATTATTTCCTTAGATTTAATTATGAGTAAATTCTAGAACATGATAAGTACGTAAAGATTCTAAATTCATTATATTGAACTTAGAAATTTAACATTTATCTTTTATTCAAATTTAAATATAATTTCCTACAAGTATTATAAATGTTAATCTTCATTTTTTATAAGCGAATAATTCCTCTTTTCTATTTTTTTTTTTGTTCTATTATGAGCCATTTTAAAAAGAGGTAAATTTGATGTTTACCTTAATTAAACATTCTAAAATATGTAACAGATATGTTTTTTCTTATTAATGTCTTTTCTTGGAAATTTAATAATATGGAAAATAAAAGGGTAAATTTATTATGAAATATGATAAGAAACAACCTTGGTTAATCTAGAGTCTAGCAAACCTCATTACACATATAATGATATTGCAACAGAATGTCTCCAAGCATTAAAGAAATCGTTCGCGTATGATCTCGGTAAATGACATGGTAATTGATCACCCCATGATTAATATTTTAGAAAATTAGAATTGGTAGAACAAAAAATCGATTATTAATATGTATAAGATAATTAATTAACATACTCAAAATCTTCTAACTCGAAGAATATCTCATTACAGTCGTTGTCAGGAGGACCATGTTGGTTTCGATTCCCTACAGCCATTACTCGTCCAATGATATCTACATATATACATAAGCGACTTATAATTTAGAATTAGACTGTGAATAAGAAAGTAGATGAATATAAATTAAAATGTACCAACACAGTAAATAGGATCAAGATATCCACTCTTGATATCACTAAATGATACGAATGAAAACAAATAATCCGAAGTCAACGAAGCAATTTTCCTGAACCATGTCGTCGATTTCCAATGTATCATAAAACGATGGTCGGTTGGTCTAAAGTTACCGATAACTATGCTCATCGAAAATCCTGAAATTAATATCCGGTTCCCCTCATGATGTCTTTGTGTAAAAACGTCTTCAAATTCTTGACCCATCACGGCATGAATTTTTTGGCCCTAGGATACAAACAAATAAATTAACGTGATTTTGTAGCAAATATAAAACAAAAGTAATAAGTTTGTTATATATTAGAAGCCTAAGAAAAAAAATTAAAGATGCGTAAAAATAAAGATTTGAATACTCTAATTCGTAAAAATACCTTTCCATCTACTAAAATCAGATCGAGTGAGTTGTAAGGAGGAGTAGTATACGTAAATTTTCTCAGAATCTTGACTCTTATTTTCGATTCGTGTGTCAATGGATTCAAAGTAGCCAAATCAAAAAAAAAATTCTTTTTCCCCTATCTTTTTCTTGATAGCATTAGAAAGTAGGTTGGCCATCTTAATATTTTGAAGTCTCCAATGCAAATTCTTATACTGAATATTTCGATATATATAGAGTTCGGTATGGTAAAATATATGTATATTTTACATTTATTTACGTGTCAAATATTTTCATCTATTATAGTTTGTTATAAAATTAGTTTTAGAGTGATAATAATTATCACATAAATTTTATTGAAAATAGTTATTATTGATTGGATGAGATAAACAACACACATCTTACATAATCAAGAAACGGAAAATACTAAACGAAATCAAACTATAGAAAATAGATCATTAATCCTCATCCGAGCTGTCATCTTGAGGATTGAAATCTGATTCTTCACCCCTGTGCGCAATTAAATTGAAAAATAATTATAAACATAGAAATTATTTATTACATGTTTTAAAATAAGTTGCGAAAAAAGCATCTCCATGAACTCGTGATTAAGGAAAATTCTTGAACAACCATATTAAGAAAAGAGAGATGGAATACCTATGTAAATTATAGAATAATGAGTAGCTAATTTTTGAAATTGGTACACAATTATACACACAACATGTGAAATAACATTATAGACAAAGATGTAATAATGTAAGAATATCAGTACTAACCTTCGCACACAGAGATCCTCCAAAAACGCAAAACACACATAATAGGTCTCTCGACATCATCATCATACTCATAAAGAACTTGCTCCCACATTGTTTTCAAATTCTTTGGCGGATTTTCCCACCGCAACACAGGTTATTTCTTTTTTCCTGATCATTAAGATTAAAATGTATGTTAATATAATAGAACTTTTTAGTAAATTCAAACATATAGGAAACTACGTAAACTAAAAACAACCAATAGTTTAGAATGGAGACGGGAGGTTTTAGGGTTTTCGGCGACCAAGACACGGCTATGATGGATTCCACGGCAAGAGGGCCGGCACCGGGGGATCCTCCGGATAGAGTGGAATCATGGGCGGCTAAGGCTTCGAGAGGGGGGGGAAGGCTTGTCCCCGAGGAGGTTTTGGAGCCGAGTTTTGTGTCGGCACGGATGAAAGTTGATTATCCGAACGGTATTAATGGAGAGCCTGTGTTCACGATTGCGGAGGAGGTAATTGAGGCGATGCATGGACTATGGAAGCAATGTATGGTTGTTAAAGTTTTAGGGAGGAATGTACCAATCCCAGTGTTGACTCGGAAGTTAAAAGAGCTATGGAAACCACAAGGAGCTATGTATGTGACAGATCTACCACGACAGTTCTTCATGGTGAGATTCGAAGTGGAGGATGAGTATTTGACGGCGTTGACAGGGGGCCCATGGAAAGCGTTTGGGAGCTATCTTATGGTCCGAGCATGGTCACCTGAGTTTGAACCGTCTAGGGATGATATTGTCACGACTCCAGTGTGGGTGCGGTTTTCAAATCTTCCGGTGGCGCTCTATCATCAGACTATCTTGTTGGGGCTAGCACAAGCACTGGGGAAGCCGCTAAGGGTAGACACAAATACGTTGAATTTTGAAAGGGCTAGGTTTCCTAGGGTGTGTGTGGAAGTGGATCTCAGCCAACCTCTAAAGGGCTCGTTCATGCTGAATGGAGAACGATACTTTGTGTTCTATGAAGGTCTAACGAGTATCTGCTCGGGTTGTGGGATATTCGGGCATATGGTGCATGCATGTCCAAAGTTGAAAGGGGTTGCGGAGAATGTAGGAGGGTCGTTATCACCGGTGGGACCTAGTAGGGTGTCGCAAGGTCCACCGGAGGTGGATGGTTTCACGATGGTACGTCGGGGGAATAGGAGAGGGGGTCCATCCACAAGCACGGAGTCATCTACTCCGGGAACTACGGGGAAAGTTTTGGAAAGAAATCAGAAGGAAAGATCGGGCAGTAAAGAAAAGGGTACAGTTTTGGTATCTAACAGTTTTGCGGGATTGGTGGAGGAGACATCTCAGCCGCAAGTTATGGAAGTCTTTGGTGGTGAAGGGGGGAATAAGGAAAATGAGATGATTGGTATCTCACAAAATAATGGAAAGAATATTTTCAAGGCTAAGGAAGGGCAATTTGAGAGGGGAACCGGAATAGGGAAGAAGGGCGCCAAAGGGGTTTTAAAAGAAAGATCAGTTGGTCCAATCAGGCCTGGTGTTGGTAGTGGATCGCGATCAAAATTTAATAACCGGCCCACCAGAGGATATTTATTTGGCCCAACAAGTACGGAGGTTGAATTGTCGACGTCGGGTAAACGACTTAGAATGGAGGGAAATGGCTTCGACCAGACAGTGGGATCGCCGAATCCAGTCACTATGGGGGTAACGAAAGAGAGCGATGTGACAGCATTATCTCTTTCCGGTGATCCGGTATCGGATATTAGTCATGTCGAGAGGGCGCAGCGCACAGTCTCCGTTGAGGAAGGACTGGAGTTGGTAGCGGCATAATAGTATGCCCCGGCGATTTGTTTGAGCTTAAATTTAAAGATGATGACGGACCTAATCTTCTGGAATTGCCGGGGGGCGAATAAACCTAACTTTCGTAGATCTATACGTTATATGTTAAAGAAGAATGACGCGCAAATCTTGGCTTTGTTTGAAACTCATGCGGGAGGGGACCGAGCTAGTCGAATTTTTCAAGGTTTGGGTTTTGAGAACTCGTTTCGAGTTGATGCAAGTGGACAGAGTGGTGGACTGTGGCTGTTGTGGCGATCGAGTGTCGGTGTTGTGAGGATTGTGGAGACATCAGACCAGTTTATTTATGCGATTGTTGGTGAGGGTGGTGTTGACCCGTTTCACCTATTGGTGGTTTATGCTGCCCCGACTGTTAGTCGGAGGAGCGGATTGTGGGAGAAATTGAAAGATGTGTTAAGTGAGATTGAGGAGCCAGTGCTAGTTGGAGGTGACTTCAATACAATTTTACGGCTTGATGAGAGAACTGGGGGTAATGGTCGGCTTTCCTTAGATTCTCTCGCGTTTGGGGATTGGATTAATGATACTTCGTTAATTGATATGGGGTTTAGAGGCAACAAATTCACTTGGAGGAGAGGGAAAGTCATGAGTACTTGTATAGCAAAAAGGTTGGATAGGGTCCTGTGCAATGCGGCCATGCGTTTGAAATGGCAAGATGCATCAGTGACTCACCTCCCTTTCTTGGCTTCAGATCATGTTCCGCTTTATGTGCAACTATGCCCCGTAGTGGTAGGTAACCCTAAACGAAGACCCTTTCGGTTCGAGGCAGCTTGGTTGAAGCAGGACAGTTTTAAGGAAATGTTGGAACATTCTTGGAATAACCAACTTTCTACCCCGGATGTTCTTCGCGGACTCCAAGTTCAACTTCAACGGTGGAATAAAGAGGTCTTTGGCGATGTTCAGAAGAAGAAGGAGGAGCTGATGCGGAAGATCAAATTAGTCCAAGATCTACTTGATGTGAATCAAACGGATGATCTACTACAAGAGGAGGCTGGGTTACTCCAAGACTTTGATGTTGTGCTGGAACAAGAGGAGGTTATTTGGTTTCAGAAATCACGTGAAAAATGGATCACCTTGGGAGAGAAGAATACTCGTTTCTTCCATACTTCTACCATTATTAGGCGAAGAAGGAATCGTATCGATATGTTAAAAAAGGATGATGGAAGGTGGGTTACCGATGCACATGAGCTGGAGGACATGGCGGTTACGTACTATAAGCGTCTTTATTCTATGGAGGATGTCGAACAAGTGGTTGATCGCTTGCCAGATATTGGTTTCACGAGACTAAATGCTGAGGAGAAGTATGAACTGAGTAAGCCGTTTGTGGATGCGGAAGTGGACTACTCTATTAAAAGTATGGGCCGTTTTAAGGCCCCAGGCCCGGATGGATTCCAGCCCGTCTTCTACATAGATTGTTGGGATACTGTTTGTGACTCGGTACGCAAGTTTGCACTAGATTTCTTCACGACGGGAGTTCTCCCACAAGGAGTGAATGATGTTCTAGTTGTGTTGATACCTAAAGTTGGGAAACCGGAGAAGATAATGCAGTTCAGGCCGATAAGTCTATGTAATGTTCTTTTTAAAATCATTACAAAGGCTATGGTTTTGCGGTTGAAGAAGGTGATGCCAAAACTTATTGGCCCGGCGCAGTCGAGTTTCATACCCGGGAGATTGAGTAGGGATAATATCATTATAGTACAAGAGGCGGTGCACTCCATGAGGAGAAAGAAGGGTAAAACTGGTTGGATGCTACTGAAACTTGACCTAGAGAAAGCTTATGATAGGGTTCGTTGGGATTTCTTGGAAGATACGTTAAGAGCGGCCCAATTTTCAGACCAATGGGTTAGTTGGATTATGAGTTGTGTTACTGGTCCTTCGATGAATCTACTGTGGAATGGAGAGAAGTCAGAGTCGTTTACTCCGGCACGTAGTCTCCGACAAGGTGACCCTTTGTCACCATATTTATTTGTCCTTTGTATGGAGAGGTTGTGTCACCTTATCGAAAGTTCGGTGAATATAAAGGAGTGGAAACCCATTAGACTTTCTCGAGGTGGTCCTAAGCTTTCTCATATATGCTTTGCCGATGACTTGACATTGTTTGCGGAAGCTTCGGTAGAACAAATCCAAGTGCTCTGTAGTGTGCTAGAGAGGTTTTGCCAAGCCTCGGGTCAGAAAATCAGCCTGGACAAATCAAAGATCTTTTTCTCAGCTAATGTGCCTCGAGATATGGAGAAGCTCATCACGGACGAGAGTGGGATCGCAGCGACAAAGAATTTGGGCAAGTACCTTGGTATGCCGGTTCTGCATAAGAGGTTGAATAAGGAGACGTATGGTGAAATTTTAGAAAGAGTCACTTCCAGATTGTCGGGATGGAAGAGCCAATGCTTGGGCTTTTCGGGGAGACTAACTATGACAAGGGCAGTTCTTACGTCAATCCCAATTCATGCTATGAGCACCATCGCTCTGCCTAAATCAGTTATTGATGACTTAGAAAAGTTGTCGAGGAATTTCTTATGGGGGAGCAACGACGAAAAGAGACGACAACATCTTTTAAATTGGGAACGTGTTTGTCGACCGAAAGGGGAAGGCGGTCTAGGAGTCAAGTCGGCTGAGGAGATGAACAAAGCTTTACTCGCAAAAGTGGGTTGGAGATTAATCAATGATAGAACCAGTCTTTGGTCTCGGGTTCTGCGGAGCAAATATAAAGTTGGTGATGTCAAGGATGCACGCTGGTTGGTGGTAAAAAGTAAGTGGTCACCCACATGGAGAAGTATTGGTGTGGGATTGAGAGAAGTGGTGATACCAGGTCTTCGATGGGTGTTGGGGGATGGTCGGATGGTTCGTTTTTGGGTGGACCCTTGGCTATCGAACTCATCACTTGTCGAGAGATGCGTGCGAGATCTACCGGTTGGGTATGAGATGCTCTATGCTTCTGATTTGTGGCAGGAGGGACGTGGTTGGCTATTGCAGCAAATTGAGCCTTATGTTACACAGGATTGTAGTTTGCAGTTGAGATCAATGGTTATTGATGGTGGGGCTGGTGTGAAGGATAGAATAGCATGGGGAGGTACTCAAGACGGTTTGTTCACGGTTAGCTCCGCTTATGCTTTCCTGACACGGGATGATAGCTTGAGACCGGATCTTAGTGGCCTTTTTTCACGGGCTTGGAAGGTGCAAGCTCTGGAGAGGGTTCGTATTTTTCTGTGGCTAAGCATGAACCAAGTCTTGATGACAAACATGGAGAGAATGAGGAGACACTTGTGTGGGTCTGGGCTGTGCCAAGTTTGCAAAGGGGGTAATGAGTCTATAATTCATATCCTAAGAGATTGCCCGGCGATAAGTGGAGTTTGGAACCGGCTCTTACGGCCTAGTCGTCGGCGGGAGTTTTTTGAACAACCGCTGTGGCTTTATACAAACTTGGGTGATCATTCAGCTATTGGGGAGAGTATTTGGTCAACAATGTTTGCTATGACGGTTTGGTGGGGATGGAAGTGGAGATGTGGGAATGTGTTTGGATCGAACCAAAAATGTCGTGACCGTGTTAAATTCCTAAAAGATTTAGCTAAGGAAGTGACTTGTGCTAATAGAAAGATATCGTTGCAAGGTGTTTCTCGGGGAGAGAGAGTTGAGCGGCTGGTTTCTTGGACAAGGCCGACCGAGGGTTGGATGCGGTTGAACACGGACGGAGCTTCAAGGGGTAATCCTGGTTTGGCATCAGCGGGAGGAGTTTTACGGAATGAGGAAGGACAATGGTGTGGGGGCTTTGCTCTCAACATTGGGATTTGTTCCGCTCCTTTGGCGGAACTTTGGGGTGTCTACTATGGTTTGTACATTGCTTGGGAGCACCGTGTGAGGAGATTGGAGATTGAGGTTGACTCGGAGATAGTTGTGGGCTTTCTAACGACAGGGATTAGTGGGACTCATCCGCTGTCGTTCCTGGTACGGTTGTGCCATGGCTTTATATCAAGGGACTGGATAGTCCGTGTTTCGCATGTGTATAGGGAAGCTAATCGTCTCGCGCATGGCTTAGCGAACTATGCTTTTTCTTTACCATTGGGTTTTCATCCGTTTGCGTTGGTGCCGGATTTAGTTAATGACATTTGGTTGGAGGATAGCCGGGGAACTTCGTTTTCTCGACATGTCCGGTTGTAATATGTTTTTTTAAGTTTTAATAATATTTGAGGAAGGCTAGCCTCCCTCCTCCTACCAAAAAAAAAAAACATATAGGAAACTCAAAATATGCTTACGTTTCATCTGTAAGGGTGAAGGTCACTACGCTTTCGGTATTAGAGTGGCCATTCTGTTCATCTATAAATGTTACTTCACGAAGCTGTGAAACATTAGAGACAATACCGCTAGCATCTGTTTCCAATTTAGAAGAAAATATTTTAGAAATTTTGAATTTGTAAAATTCCAAACTTGTAAATGTATTGAATATAGGGAGTATAAGTATACATACCATAACAATATTTTCTATCGTCCACTTCGGAATTGATAAGTTGAGTGCATGTAATGAAGTTGAAGTAATATTCCAAGACTTCTCTTCCACTTCTCGCATTGTTGTTTGATAGATTGTCGTTATTTTCAAGTGATGGCAAGAATTATTAACTTGTAAATTATTCTCCATAACTTGAAAGTTGGAAAGTAGATACCACTTTCCCTCAACAATGAGATTATAGAACCGTCATGCATATCGAATTTATGGAACTGTTGCAGCAATCCTACAACCATGTGTTATAAAACAATATAACATTTGACGTTAGACAATAATTATACTTAGCCTAATAAAGTTACACGCAAAATATATATAAGTTATTCACCAGTTGATCTACTAATATCATACTCTTCCTCTTCCCTTCAGAATCATTCTTCGGCTTCCAGGCAGCCAAAAGTTTAACAAAAACACTCTAGTTACTCGAATTCGTAGAGATATCAGCGAACGAATGTTGTCATGCCATTTCCTTGAGAGAATTATA